CGGAGCTCGGGCTCGGCGGAACCGGCCGAATCCGGCTCACAATAGGCTGTTTCCTGCAAGGGAGGTTTCTTTGGGAAGGCACAAATGGGATTTTTTAACCTTTTCCCAGGCAGCCCCCGGGAGTTGAGCGCTTGCTTGCTCCGGCACCATGCTCGTGGCGATGCTCGAGGGCTGCCGCGGGTCTCCCCCTCCCAAAACAGGGCGCGAGGTACGCCTTGAGCATCCTTTTGGGCGCGCGACCTCTTCCCCATCCAAATGGATCAATGGGCTCCACCAGCCTGGCAATTCCTCCGCAGCAGGGAGCAGGTACCGGTCGTGATGGAGATACCGTTCGCATCTCGCTTGATGCCCAGCTTCGCTGCCGGCTGCGCCGCTAGTGCCATCCCGGCTCCGGGGAGGGGATTTGGGGGCGCAGAGCGTGGCATGGGGCCGCTCAGCAGCGTTACGGGTGTGTCGGACTTGATTATTTGGGTATCGTGTGCGTTTAAGATGATCACGGTGTTGCTTAGGGAGGGAAGCCCAGGGCTCGGAGGGGGTCCCCCCCAAAAAGAGCCATCCTGAGCTGGGCGCTGCCGGGATTTCTGCCTTCCTGGCCTGCCCTGAGCCTTCAGGGTGTGAAAACACGCCCGGTGCACGTCTGCCTGGTGCCGGGAGGGATTTTGCTGCGTGTGTGTGGCCGTTCCATCCACGAGCGAGCTGGAGCCCGGGGAAAAAAAAAAATCCCCTTTTTTTTTTTTGGTCAAAAACCGTTTTAAGTGACTGCATATAGAAACGTGAAGCAGGTGCTCTCCATCCCGGCGCAGAAATCGCTTTGCATATCTTTTTCCACCCTGCTTTGCAGAAAAATGAAGCCAAGGCCAGGCTGGGTTTAACCTGCAGCTGCCCGGTGACTTGTGTCCCATCTGGGATGGTGGTATCGGATCGATCAGCCGCGGTGTCGGATAGATCGGCCTTCATGCGGGTTGTGTTTGGGGGAGATCTCACTGGTTTTGGGGGAGTTTCTGTATTAGACGGGGGCTGCTGTAATAATCTGTGTAAGACGGGGAAACTGAGGCTCAGTCTTATTTCTCCTTTATGCCCAGAACTGGCTGCCGCAAGCTCACGGGCAAAACAGGGGACAGCTCCTGATGCTTATGCATGGTGTGATGGTTAATAAAGTTATAAAACATTATATTATAAGAGATGCCGTGCCCTTGCCGGGCTTTTCCCCGTGCACAGAGCTGCGGCAGTGAGTCACGGTCTCCCAAACACTGGGTTGTGACACTGTCAAATGCAGGCGGCTGACGAATGAGCTGCTATTTCCAGGCTTCCTGCTAAATATACTTTCCCCTCCCCGGTCCCCTCCGTAGTACTCTGCAAAAATTAAGGCCTTCCCGTCGTTAACGAGGGAAAACAAACTGTGTTTCTGCTTGTCGCAGTCTTTGCCAGATGTGGGAACTGAGGCACGCGAGTGGCTTAAAGGCTGAATAGTTGGGGGAGAATGGAGGGGGAAAAAAGGGGGGAAAAAAGAGGGGAAAAAAGGGGGGAAAAAAGCAGAATTTAGGTCTGCTTTTTAAAAGGGAATAAACAGGAGGGAGCGTGAGGCGATGATAATCGTGTCGTGCTGGGGGACGAGCGTGTGGGTGCAAGCAGAGGGGCTGCACCGCCCGCGGGGAGGGTTTTTTGTCGAAGCCGGCTGTTTACTTTTAAAGGCTTTGGTCCAAAGTTTGGTCTTTAGTTTACATATAGGGCCTGTGGCAATCCATACCGTGGATCAACAAGTTTTTCTTTCAATAAACACTCCGGCTGGTGGGGGGCGGAAAAAAACCCTAAGTTGTGAGAAAAGCCTTCGGACAGCATTTTATTTTTAATTAGTTTGAGTTGTTTTTCAAGTCCTGGAAATATTTTCCCGGCTCAGACTGCAGAAACTCCCCCAGCTTCCCCCGCCAGAGATTTAGAGCCGCTTCCTTCCTCCAAAGCTGTTTTAACTCAGGCAGGACCGCGGGGATGGGGTGAAGACAGCACAGATCCTGCAAATCCTGACGGGCTGAGGCTTTCGGGAAGGGAACTGGATTTTGGAGGGTGACCTGGTACCTCTCCGCAAAGGATGCTCAAAAATTATCCCTTGTTCCAGAAAATCTTAGGACTTGAGAGTCGCAGCAGGTAGATTTTGGGAGAGGTGCCAAGCTGCCGGGATGCGCGTGCCTAGACGCCTTTATTAAAAGCCGCTTGCGTGCCTGCAAAAGTGGAATTGGGATTTTAGTTTGGACTCTTACAGAGTTTTGTGGCAGGGAAAAACCAGCATCTTCTAAAAAGGGTGGGGGGAGCTTTGCTGCTTTGTATTAGGCAGCAAACTCCAGGCTAGAGGGGGTGTGAATTTTTCCCGTCACCGCGTTATCAGGGAGTAGATGCGTAGTGGTGGATAGTAGATGCATAGTAAATGTATAGTAGCGCTGGGGTTGTCTGGCTTTATCCATCAGGGGCTGTGGAGCAGATGCACTGATTTGATGTCTGGCCGCGTTGCTCCATGAGAAACAGCCCGAGCCCCGTCCCAGCTGCTCTGAGCATCGCTGGAAACTGGGGTCTTGATGGGTGCATCGGGTTTTGCCTCTTCACCGTCCGGCTGCCCTTTGGTCCTCGGGTTAATGTCGTTAGTCACCAGGAACCCACTCGCTGCTGAAGATGCTGTTCCCTCTCCGTGGCTTTCGAGAGCCCCCCAGGACAACTGCTTCCCAAATTTGGCTGGTTCAGGCACATCCCTCATGCCAGGCAGGATGAGGCCGGGATGAGGAGCATCTCCCTCACCCCCTTGGGCAGTGGTGCGTTGCATAGAGGTGCCCTTAATGCAGGGCAGGGAGCGATCGAGGAATTTACAGCCTTTTCTATATGGTCCCCGCTCAGCTTGTCCTGTGCAGACAAATCCCGTTCCCGAGTTGTGGTGATGCTCTGTAGGATTTGGACTTCTGGCTGCCTTGAGAAAAGGCTGGAGATAAGAGGGGAAAACCAAAGAAGCAGGTTGAGAAGGTGGCCTCACAGCATAACCAAAAAAATAGAATAATATCTGGAGATGCCCAGTTCTGCCCCTGCCTGCTGCCGTTTTGCAGTGGCTGCAGCTCTGCTCGCTGCCCTGTGAGGCAGGAACGTGCCTGGCGCTTCCTTTCCCGTACCAGCATCTTGTTTCAGAGCAAACAGACAGCAAGCCTCTTGTGCCTCTGAATAATCCTCACGTTGCTCTTCCCATTGCAAATTTCTCCTTTCTCTGGCCGCCTGCGAAACACTCGATTTGAGCTCTAAAGCTTTGCTATCCCTTGTCACTCCTTCCCGAGCCAAGGAAGTCCAGTTTCTGCCTTGCAGGGGAGCTGGAGGTGGTGTTGCTGGAGGTTGTGGTCCAAGCGTTCCCTGTTTTCCGGGAGGCTTAAGCTGCTCGGTGGTGTTTGTCTCTATACGTTAGGCAGGGCTGTATAGCAACGGGTGCACTGCGGGTGCTCCCAGTTGGTGCGGCGGAGGAGGTGCTGTGGTGGGTACGGCTGCAGTGTGGGGTTTTGGAGCCTGATGTTCACTTGATGGAGCTCAGCTACGACCTCAATCAAGTCACCTATCCTTCCATGCCCGCCAGTAAGGGGCATGTTGTGACCAATGGCAAAAAGATGTGGGTCCTTCCGTGGATGTGCAGGGTGTCCTTCACCTTCAAGGGTGGAGGAGTGTCACCAGTGTCCTGCTCAAGGTGGTTCGTCCCATGCGTTTTGTGCCCCATCTGCCTCGGCTGCTGGAAACCACAACTCTTTTCCTATCTGAACTGAGGTGTCCTCGCAGTGGTCGCAAGGAGGTGGAGGTGACCTGGCCGAGGGTGTGCAGTGTGATCAGGACCCTGGTGGCCTCGCGGGTGGTGAGTCTCGGAGGACAGAGCTAAGCCGGACGGTAAATGCATTGTTCTGGGTTTTTTGTGCGATTGCAGCGAGGAAAGCACGGAGGTGTAAGTGCTCACAAAACTAGATGCAACCAGTCTTTTGAGCCCTTGGAAAGCCCAGGGACCCACCTCTGAAAACGCTGCCTTGGCCATTAAAGTCCTGCCGGTGCCCACAACGGGGAGCGTGTGTGGGGACTGCGCCAGGGCCGCTCACAAAACGAGATGCAACCAGTCTTCTGAGCCCTTGGAAAGCCCAGGGACGCACCTCTGAAAACGCTGCCTTGGCCGTTAAAGTCCTGCCGGTGCCCACAATGGGGAGCGTGTGTGGGGACTGCGCCAGGGCGAAGGGTGAAATCCTGCACGTGTTCTGATGTTTCCATGGTCAGTGTGGACGCTTCCCAGCTGCTTGCAGGAGAAAGGAAGGCCTTTGATGCCCAAGAGGAGACCTTCCCTCCACTGCCAGATGCCCAGAGGTGGACGGGGAGGTCGGATGCCCAGAGGTTCAAATTTAGCCCCCGGAGCTGCCACTGTGGTCCTTGGTGGGTGGCTGCAGGTGTCTGGGCTTCCCCGTCCATCAGGTAGAGGAGGGAGGCAGTTCTTCTCTGGAAATCGGTCTGTTGGGATGTCTGCCTACGTCCAGGAGGTTACATTTATCTTAGGTTGTAAAGTATTTTATGTAGGCATTAGAAAACAACCTGCTACCTCTCTGCAATGAAAGGTGGAGAGGTGAAGGGGTGCAGAGGTGGCCCCCAAACCTGCTGGTGGTCCTCTGGCCTGCAGGAAGCAAAGGCAGGTGTGGAGATAGGACAAAGCATTGATTGATCCTGGAGTGGATGGAGGAAACCTTCCTACCAGACCTTCCAGAAAAGAAAATTAGGAGAGTCCTTGCAAACTGTGTTGGGGCTGAGCACCATGCAGGCATTGCTCCCCACCCTGGAGATGCTCTGGGGTCGTTTTCTCAGACCCACAAGTCTGGCTTGTGGCCCCTCCGGTGGATTAGGAGACTTCGCCTGGAGGTGATGCCTTGTTTCCAGCTGTTTACACCTCTGGATGTCAGCCAGGTACTTGGGTAGGGTGTAAAACCTTCAGTGCCTACTGCCATCGGCACATCCATGACACGGCTACCCGTCCCTGCAGTATCGCGGGGTTCGTGCATTTGTTTCATGCCCTGCGCTAGCTTGTGACGAGGTTTGGATGTCAGGTCCCAGTCCCAGTTGTGTTGTACTGCTCTGGGATGAAGCAACTTTGCTTTCCTAGCCAGCAAGGTTTCCAAGAGCCAGAAGCCAGCATGAGGCCAGGCGATGCGCTTTTTCCATTACCACCCCAAACTCTGCCCGTGGTCTCCCTCGGCAGAGTGCTTCTCGCGTCTACTCCTCCGCAAGCAGAGCACAACATGTGGGATTTCTTTTTTTTAAGCGGGGAAAAAAAAAAAAAAATCCCCAAACATCAGGAAAACACGCCGCGGAGTTTGCTTTCCCCCAGCCGAGGCGGCAAGAGGATGGGCAGCGCTGCCTGCGCCGGCAGAGCGGAGCCGCCGGCCGGGTGCTCAATGCTCGTGGGGGCGGGACGGGAACACTTGGCAAAGCCCCCGTGTCCCCCCCGCAGCTACATCCCGCAAGACGTGAAGCAATATTTCCAGCCGGGTTTTTAATGGCCTGCAGCTCTGAAACGGTTGCAGCGACGTCTGTGTGAAATGCAGCTCATCTCCATCGGCGTTTGACGGGCACGGGATTTTTTGGGGCTGGTTGCGGAGGAGGCTGGGCGCTTGCGAAGCGTTGGAGGGGTGGCTGAGGAACCATCAGAAAGGTGAAAATCTCTGGTGACCTGCTGCTGGTGTGGGGTTGGATGGGATGAAGGCATGGACGGAGGTTGGCATTGGACATCTCTGCACTGGGTTTTGCTGTGGACCCGGCTCAGGGGTTCCTCAGTCTCAGAGATGCTGCTTTGGGGTGTCCTGCAGATGCACTAGGACGGGATGCTGGGCTTTGCCCCGTCCCCGCAAAGCCTCCTTGAATGAAAAGCAATAAATGAAGAGCAGACAGCACAGCCCTGGTTTGCAGGGGGCCTGATGTCTCATCCCAGACTTTTTTTTTCCCTTTACGGGCCAGCCTGGGATGCTGAACGTGCGGCTGGGATCTCGTGCATGGTCAGTGCGAGGTTCAGCTCTTTTGCCAAAGCTGCTTTTCCCCTGTCCGGTGGGACCCTCGTGAGCAGCTGCGTGGTCTCTAAAGGGGTCCGGCCTCACCGGTCCCGTGGTTGCCGTTACTAGAGGAGTCTCCGCAGAGATGTGGGGGCTAAATACGTGCGTAGCCGGTGGGCCTTTGAAGTCACTGAGCTTGCTCAGGTGCTGGATGTTGTCATTTCTACCCATGCTGGGCTCCTGGCATGGCTGCCCGGAGTGGATGGGAATGAGAGATGGTTTTAATTAACACAAACGGCCCGCTGGGTCGGGCTCCCGGTGTTCCCCGAGCAGTGGGTTGCACGTGACGATGGTCTATGGTACTGGAGGGATGCTCATCCTTGAGGGGAAGCGGGGGGCTTCCCACGTCGGGCTGGCTGGTGGCTTTTACAGTTGCGTTGCTTTTCCACGTTTCTCCCTCTTTTATCCACCCCTTTCTCCTTCCCAAATCCCAAGTCCCTGTTGGCAAACCTCTTCCCTAGCAATCCCCTTGCTGAAAGGCACTGTTGTGAGTGAAGCCGATGCCTGCCCATCTCCCTGGACTATTTGCCTTTACCCAGCGCGGTAGGAAATAGGAGTAAATGGTGGCAGAAGAATGGATTTAACAACTGATTTGCCTTTTTTTTCCCCCCCTCTGTGTGTCTTTGACAGGTTACAGCCAAGACTGCCTTCCTGTTTATCTTACCTCAGTATAACGTTAGCGTGCCTACAGCAGGTAAGAGATGCTGCCGCTGTGGATACCCCAAGGGGAGGGTCGAGTCCTGGTCTGCCCCAAACCCTCGCTGCCAGCTGGCCTGGGCTCACCCTCTACTGATGCACACGCTCGGGCCCTTGTCTGGTAGTAAAGGAGATTTTAAAAATAAAATATGTGGGAGAAAAGCAAAGTTTCAGTGGCTCAGAGCACGCTGATCATGTCTGCCAGCCCTTGTGCTGCCAGGGTTGGGAAGAAATGCTTTCCAGGGGGTTTTAGGGCTTTCTTTCTACCTGTTTCTGCCGTGGTCAGGCTGCTGTGTGTGCTCTGCAGGGTGAGGATCCTCCTCCCAGCCTGGTCAGGCGAGATCAAATTGCCTGATTGCATGCCCAGAGTAGCTCTGCCGAGGAGCAGGAGGGGTTTAGCTCTTTGCTAAGCAGCAGGGGCTGCGCAGATAATTCCCATCTCGCTTTATTTATTGGGGATGGCAGAAGGTGAGGGTGTGGAGATGCACGTGGTGCACAGCATCCCTGCTCCAAGCAGCTTATCGTCCTGATGGAGAGTAATTCAAGGAGACTCCGGGCTGGCGCAGGTCCAAGCCTGATGGACCAGAGGACTCGGAGGTAGCTGGAGGCTCGGTCCCTGTTTGTATTTTGGCTGCTAGTAGCTACCTTCCTAGCTGAGAGCCCCTCCAGGGCTGGCAGCGATCTGGGCACCGGCACGGGGGCAGCTGGAGGTGGTTTGGGTAAAGCCCTGTGCTCAGGATGAGCCAAACGCCCAGGGCACAGAGCCTGGTGTGGTGGTAGAAAACTGTAGTTAATTAGTGTTTGAGTCATCATCCAAGGAAAAAGCGGGGTTGTTGGGATTAGTGAAACTATGATGAGGCAGACATGCGGAAGATAAAAGGTCTGCCCTTAAAATCTTTGAACATTATGGTTGAAGAAATCATCCAGCTTCCAGATGAAATAATGGTCCGCACTCCCCTATGGCACAGTCCAGACAACTTCCACTGCCGTTAAGTGATTTATTCTTTCCCAATACCAGAAATCTCAGGGGGGGGCACATAACCATCTCACCAGGACCAGGTATTGGGGTATCTATGGGGTATGAGCTAGGTGAGGCCGTGGGGAGAGAGACCTTGGTGCAGCAAGCTTGCTCAGAGGAAGGATTATTACTCACCTGAATTTTTCCAAGGCTGTTTCACATCCCTCGCAACAAGGATACTGTTGCCTGTCAGTCGGCAGATCTCGCTCTCGTCTCCCGTGCTCAGCGCACACACGGCTCCTGCTAGCTTCTGAAGTGCCCCAGAGAGAGGAGAGGAGGCAGAGCAGTCGCGCACGTGCATAATATTATTTTCTTTAGTCTTGCAATTCTTTTCTCTTAAACTAGGCTTATGAGCTCTGTGATACAGGCAATGTTTGCAGAGCACCCAGCCGAGGGGTTCCTAAGGACCAAGTGTTTTCACATCCTTACACCAAGTGTTTTCATAAATCCTATTCAAACCTTATTCATGTACCTCAAATCTTAAAAATCTGGACTGAAGCTTTGTTCGAGGGTAAACAGGGCTGGTGACAGAGAAGTCGCTTCCCAGCATCGATATTAGGAGAGGATGGACAGGATCAGGGTAAGGGAGAGCAGCAGCTGGGGGTGGGCTGAGCTTCCTTTGCCATGCTTTCTGCAGGGTGCCACCAGGACAGCAGCTTTCCCGACTCTGCTTCTTCCCCATAAGCTGCAGGGCTGCAAATAGTTGCCTAAATGCAGACGTCTGGGGTATTTTGGGTTCTGTTGGGTCTCCTGTTGCCCCAGAAGAGCAGAACCTCCCACGGGTCCTATTTCTCATCCGCCAGCCCCGTTGCCATCTCGGATCTCTTAATAGCACGAGGCATCTGCTTTTAGGCAGCTGAATCCTGCTCCAGAAGGGGTGAGTGGGAGAGACTGGGTGTTGGATGATAACTGAGGGGGTGGAAATCCCATCCTGAGCCTTAATGCTCCCAGTGGGGTGTCCCTGATCCCATCACCTACTTCAGCACTGCCTCTATGTCTTTGCCCCTCCAGGCTGAAAAATTCATGTCCCCAGCCCCTCACCTCTGGCAGGGGAAGCTTAAAGTGTCCTGAGTGTCACCTCCCTTGAGGTGTGTAACTATTAGAGGGGACCTATCCGCCTTCTGCCGATGAACTGACTCAGGCTAGAGCCCTTTTTTCCAGCCCTGCAGCCACTGGCACAGTCATGACCTCTCTCTGCCTCCACCTCTCTGGTGGCCCTATCCAAGCTGCGTGTTGGGAATAGTCCCCGCCTGAACTTCCACTAACCCTTAAGTACCTGGAAATCATTTGGATCATGGGGATTTGACCCACTGTTTGGTTTCTTTGCAGATGGGGAGCTGGTCCAGTATCATTATGGGCTGAAGGATCTGGTCACCATCCTCTTCTATATCTTCATCGCCATCATCCTGCATGCGGTGGTGCAGGAGTACGCCCTGGACGTGAGTGTCGTTCGGCGTCTTGAGTCGCCAAAATATCTCAAGTACCATGGGGGGATGTGGTCCTGTTGCAGTTAAATATTGTTATGGGGGTAGTCTGGGTGTTCGGGCGGTGACGAGTGAGCCTTCATCTCTGGGAGCTGCTTGGGACAGGGAGGAGGAGGAGGAGGGAGAGTTGTTGACCCAGTGGCTCATGTTTTCTTGTTCCTTTTCTCTCCCTCTGCCCCTTCCCAGAAAATCAACAGGCGTCTCCATCTCTCCAAGGTCAAACACAGCAAGTTCAATGAATCAGGTCAGCTGGTTGCCTTCCACCTCACCTCCGTGATTTGGTGCTTGTACGTCGTGGTGACGGTGAGGCACGGGGCCACCAGGCTTCGGGTTCCCTGGGTGGGATTTGGGGGTTCTGGAGTGCAAAACCTCGATGGCAGCAGAGTCCCCAGCCAGCTCCTGGGCCAAGACGGGCACATTTCAGCAAATTTCGTTTTCAAGTGTGGTGGGTCTTTCCAGCCACTGAGTGAGGGCAGTTTGGGGAAATCCTTCTCCTGCTTCGTGCAAGGCACAAGCAAATGGGCTGTGAAATATTTTAGAGCTGGATCCTAGAAATCCTGCGTGGTCCTGTCATCTCCATCCGCTGCTCCGGGACCTGCCGTCTTTCTCAGTCTTACTTTCCTCCTTATTTGCGTTCAGTGTCTTGGGGTTTTCGGATGCCCTTTACAGGGATGTGGGGTGAACGGGCAGATTTTTGTGATCCCTCTCTTGGTGAGCTGGCAGTGAGGGGCATGCTGAGCGGTGCGGTTGCGTTGGGGATGTTTCAACCCATAACCGCTGGAAGAAAAATTTGTAGTGGAAATGTTTCATTTTTAGGAGGAAGAGGGAGGGAAGAACAGGTAGCGGTGGAGAGAGACAACTATTTTGGCAGCGTGAAGTGATGATGATGCTTCATTACTGGTGGCCATTGGGGTTCAGCCGTGGTCCCCAGCGGTGCTGGGGATGGATGCTCGGGGGCAGGTCCCCTCCCCACCGCTTGGGGTGACCTGCCAGCCCCCCATTAGAGGACCGCTACCCCTTCCAGGCCAGCATTTCTGGGGATCTGCTGGCACTGCTCCTGCCCCATAGGGCTGTGGGGAGGGAAGCTTTGGTAAAACAGTTGAGGCCACTGTTTTTGGGCTGCCTTCACCCAGCGCCAGACCCATTCCTCACCAGCTCCGGGGCTGCAGCCTCCTATGCAAACCCGTGGTGCTGTGGTGTGTTCCTCAAGTGCCCCGCATGTGCAGAGCAGGTCACCCTTTGCAGAACTTGCACCTCCCCCAAGCTCCCCCAACCGAAAAAAGGTCTTGGGGCAGACAGGGCATGGACAATGGTGACAGATAGGTCCTGGGCAAGATGAATTTTCCATGCCAACATCTCTTTGCAAAGCCCAATGCAGCAGCCCTCCGGCAGGAGCTGTGCAAGCGTGGAACGAGAAGGGAGCCCCATCCTGTAATCTGCCCTGCAAGCATAAGGCAAGGGGCTGTAGGGTAGTGCAGGCAGGTGGAAAATTAAACTATGCAATGCATATTAAATTATTTTTGTAGGAGTTTTCTGTTCCCCTTTCTCTTCAGAAGTACTTCTTTTTGCTTAAGTGATACTCGAGTTGGAAATGCTGGTGGGTAAGAAGCTCCCCTCGGACCATGCACACGATTGCTTGTAGCCGTGCTACTGACATCTTGCACCTCCAGAGCATCCGTCTTGCATTGCCCAAACCCCAAAACATCCTATCCTGAACTGGTGACCCTCTGTGCAACCGAGCAGGCAGCTTTCAACCCCCAAACACGGGGGCCTCATGAAACTTGAGCAGGTGCTAGAGACCCGTGAATGTGGCTGAGCTTTGGAGAGCTCAGCCTTGGCTTGTGCAGGGGACACAGTTTTTACTGCAGGCTGAAAGGACTCAGGTGTCATCCCCGGTTCCTAGTTTCGCTGTAGCGTTAGCCCGCCCCATCGTAACCATCCTCTGCCTGTTTCTTTTGCTGAAGGCTTGCATCTCTTCTCTTTTTCAGGAAGGATACGTATCAAACCCCAGAAGTTTGTGGGAAAACTACCCGCATGTTTATCTTCCGTAAGCACTTGCAAGGGCATTTTGTTCTTGGGCTGACCACTTCCTTCCTCTATATGGTTTTCCCTGCGGCTGGGAGCAGGGTGGTGACAGTGCAGCGCCTTTTGCATGCACCCTGCTGCAAGGATGCTGCAGTCAGATCCTGGGGGATGGGGGTTATCTTGTTTGTGGCCCTGGGGTAGATGTTCCTGGAGTGTTTCCTCCATGAGGCAGGCCCTGCCGGCTTGGTTACTCATCCTGGCTGCTTACTGCCTGCATCACCTTAGGCAAGTCGCTTTGCTGTTCATTTTTCATAGTGGAAACACAGAAGTGGGGGATAATCCTCCCTTCTTGGGTTTTTGCAAAAGTGAGGTTTGCGGAGAGCGTGGAGACCACGGCATGAGCAGCCAGATAAACTCTGGGCATGGCTAGCTCAGCTGAACATATAATTTCAGCCCAGAAATGAGGCCTCCTAAATCCTGTGGCTTCAAAGTGGTGGAGGGATTGCCTGGTGCTGTGCAGTTGGGCACTTTCCCTGGTGCCTGGGTCCTTGGGATCCTGCCATGCCCTGGGTTGGCTCATGTGTCTTGTCCCTGCGTTTCAGGTTCCAGGTGAAGTTTTTCTACCTGTGCCAGCTGGCATACTGGCTGCACGCCCTGCCGGAGCTCTACTTCCAAAAAGTTCGCAAGGTGAGAGCCAGGCGGGCGCTCCCGCGTACCCTTGGGATGCTTGAAGTGGTTTGCCCCCTGGCTTTGGGGAAAGCGAGCTTTGGGCGAGGGTGGGTGAAGAGGGGCGAGAGGTTAACGCCGTTTTCTGCCCCTGCCAGGAGGAGATCCCCCGCCAGCTGCGGTGCATCGCGCTCTACCTGGTGCACATCGCCGGCGCGTACCTCCTCAAGTGAGTCGGCTGCCTCGGCATCCCGTCCCGCGCCGCGGATGGGGCTGAGCAGGTCCTTTTGCAGTGCGGGTCACCCGGGAAACCTCAGCGGGGCAGGGGGTTTAAAGGGAATTAAGGCGAGTGTTTAAAAAGCGGATGGTATTGAAGTTGACCTCCCGACTGTGGGCGGTTAGTCAAACAGTTTTCACAGACCCACAGAGCTGATTTTGAAGGAGCTCAGCGGTGTTACGCAAGTGCACAGGCGGTCTCTGGTCACAGGACATTGCAAAGCAAATGTTAACCAGGGACCCAAAACGCAGGCTGATGGGTGCATCTCCCCTGGGTGTGGGAAGGACCCTGGGGTGCTCTCCCAGCACAGCACGGGCAGGCAAACTCTTATCCTTCCTCTAAGTGTGTGCACAGAGCAGCAATGCCAGTGGTTAGGGCTTTGTGTCGGACTCATCCCAGCTGTACCTCTGGTTTGGGATGCTTTGATGTTTTGGGGAACAGGGATTTCCCCGTTGCAATCCTACCCCCATTGCTGTGGAGAGGTCCCACTTTGGGCTGGTTCTTGTAGCAGCGCAGGGATGGTGGGGGAGATGCTGTCGCTGGATACGAAGGACCGAGGCTGAGCAGCCCAGTGATGCTTTTTTCTTTCTCTTCCCTCCTAGCTTAACCCGCTTGGGGCTGATCCTCTTGCTGTTGCAGTATATAGCCGAATTCTTCTTCCACATGGCCCGGCTGGTCTACTTCACGGATGAGAACAACGAGAAGCTGTAAGCAGGCGAGCTGGCCATGGCTTCCCTCCTCTCCCAGGAGAGCTGTCGGCGTGATGGGGGGGCTCGTTCTCACCTTCCAGCTCAGCGCTGGAGGCCGCTCCTGCCAACACCTCTGCTTGCCCTCCTGCAGGTTTAACGTCTGGGCTGTTGTGTTCGTGGTCACCAGGCTCTTCACCCTCACCCTGTACATCCTGGTCATCGGCTTCGGGCTGCCACGGGTGGAGAACCAGGCTCTCGACCCCGAGAGAGGGAACTTCTTCAGCTTTCTCTTCAACAATATCCTCTTCAGGTAGGAATGTCTCCTACTGTATCTTCCTTGGTTGTGTTATCCCAAGGTGGTTTTTGCTGAGTTTGGAAATGCCAATGGAGATCTGATCTAGGTTCCCTTTAGGGAAGGTCCTAGTGAGCTGGGAGGGTGTGGAGGGAGCGAGGAGGGGTTAAAAGCTGCGGAGCCACGCGGAAAAGCCAGCAAATAAGTTGTTCAGCGAGTGAAGTTGTAAAGCACGAGCCTATCTTAGAGAAAGGCTTGCAGGCTTTCCCTTCTGCACCTGTAACTGCGCTTACATGGATGTGGTTGAAAGGCATTTTCCCCTCTGCTTGGACAAGTTTTGCTGGCTGTTGACATGGGAAGCAGCGGATGGGATGGGTTCCTCATGCCTTGTAGTCTGTCTGTCAAGACAGGGAGCCTTTCTCACCCATACAGCAGCTGTAGGTTCAGTTCAGAAGTTCCTAGGACAGGTGCCTGGTCATTCCCAAGGTTTTTGGAGCTATGGACTGCTGGCACGCCTTAGGATTTGGGGGACTTTCTTAGCTCCCTTTCAACCACATCCACCTTTTAGTTGTACAGAGCAGCTGGGGACGTCTTACCTTGACCGTGCAGACTGTGCTTTGGGCAGTGCTGGTTGAGATGATCCTATTCATCCATTCCTGCACTAAAGTCTTAAGAGTCAGCAGCGCCCCGAGCACCTGAGAGCTTCGTGGTGGGGAGGGAAAGGGAAGTGGCTGCTCTGAGCTCGGGTTATGGCAGAAAGCAGAGATGGTGGCTGCCTCTGATGGTGGCTGCCTCTGACTCTCAGTGCAGCCACCCAGGGGGACCTCGGCCACCGGCCCCGATGTGGGTGGAAGGCTGGGCTGGTGGTGGCCTCGCTCCTCTGTTCTCAGCCTGCCTCTTCTCCGCCCCTACCAGAATGAGTGTGCTGCTGTTGGTGTGCCTCTTCCAGGCCTCGGTGATGTGGCGCTTCATCCACTTCCAGCTGCGGCGCTGGCGGGAGTACTGGAACGAGCAGAGCAGTACGCCGGCGCCAAGCAGCAAGCCAAGCCGCTCAAGAGGGACTCGGGTGAGTGCCGGAGCCAGCGTGCCATGGGGTGGCACCGTGGGAGGCATCGGTCCTGTGGTTCAGCATCCCCTCGGCAGGCTGCTGCCCGTGCAGGTGATGCTGTGGACGTGCCTCCTGCCCCTCCGCGCTGAGCCTGGGGGTCCCCAGCAGGATCGTCCCGCGGTGGTGGTTTTCTCCATAGCTATGGGCCAGCCCCAAGAGGGTTAAGGTTTTGGCCTGTGCAAGGGACAAAGTTTTTCTTTCTCTATCCCCAGGTTACCATGAAAATGGAGTGGTGAAAGCAGAGAACGGCACCTCGCCACGAACCAAGAAGCTGAAATCACCGTAGAAGCAAAGGCTTGCCTCCTGGGGAGGAGGGCGAGATACCAGGACTAAGAAGCAGTCCCTCCTCCCGGTCCTCACAAGCATCGTCTTGAACGGCTTGGAAACCAGTCATCTTCCCAAGGTGTCTCTCGCTCTCCTCTCTTCTTTTCTTACTCTCTTGAACCATTTGCAATAAAACCAAAAAGGTCCCTTTCCCCTGCACCCTTCCCCTTGTAGGAGCCTTTTCCAACCCTCCTGGTTTTACCTTCCTCTGTTTCATCGTAAAGCAGCGTGCAATTTTTTTCTTTTCTATTTTAGTGTTTTTTTGGTTATTTTGGATTATTGTTACAAATGCATCATAGATGGTTCCAAAGGAGCCTTTTTTATTTTACAGCATGTTCCTCCTCTCTCTCCGTGGTGCTTCCCTGAGCCCCGGGGTCAGGGCCACAGCAGCTTGAAGGCACCACGTGTCTGTTATGGGAACAGGCTCCTGGGGGAATGCACTAGGGCTCTGTGACCCTGAGGCTCAGGGGTGCTCTCAGGCGAGGGTTGCCTCTCCTGGGGCATGTCTGGCCAGTGCTTGGCAAGTGCCACAGGGTGGTGGTGCTGCAAACAGAGACCAGGGTCTGAGTGAGGAACCTCAACTGTGTCTTGTCTCATGGTGGACCTCTGGTTAAGTGGGGTCTTTCTGACTCCTGGGTTTTGAGCTAATTTTGGAGAGCTGGGCAGCGGAGAAGGGAGAGAATTTCCCTCTTCATATAGGACCCGTCTCCTAGCCTTTGCTTGCCCCAGCTCTTCTGGTACAGCTGGGTCCCTCTTAGCTGCAGTAGGTGAGCTGCCCTGTAGTTGTTGTGGACCTCCCAGCCCCAAGAGCTGGGCTTAGGGCTCTGCAGCTTGCAGTGCCTTGTTGTGGGGCAGCAGCATCCTCAGGTCTACGTGAAACCTTGAGTCCTGCCCCGGTCTGAGCACTGGCCTGACTCCTGTCAGCCCAGGCCCTTTGCCAGCTTGTGTGTGCCTCACGGACCTGGTGTTCTCATGGCTCATGACCACGTCTGGATGACAAACTGGCTGCTGCAAAGGGTTTTTTCATCAAGTGGGACTGTGCCCTTCATGCTGTCACCTTACCCTTCTTCATCCCTACTGTACCAGTCCAGCCTTGCCATCGGCAGCCACCAGCTTCACTCTTTGTTTCCAAAGGATACAGAGCTTGTATCCACCCAAGGTGCTATCAAATGCAGGGTTTCTTCCAAAAAAACTAGCCCCTTCATCCCTTTCTGAGCTGTGAATGAGATGACAGGGAAGGGGAAAGAAGCCGGGGGCTGCAAGGAGCAGCTTGCATATTAGGAAAAGCCTGACCTGTGACGCATAGCTGTTGGCAGATGGAGTTGTCTCAAATCTACCTCAGAGGCCACCTGTTGCTGCAGACCACTTTCCCCTCTTGCTCCTGCCCGCTGCCGCCGGTACGTGGTGGCAGGAGATTCGTGGGAACCCCAGATCCCACCGGCTCAGTCCCCTGCTGCTTCTTTGCTGGGGAGCAGCATCTCCTGCCCAGGGTTTCCTGGGTCAGTGCCAGCTCGCTGAACTTCTTTGGGGTGCCCTGCACCAATCTAGGTTTGGTAGGTGTGCAGTAGATGGGCACCTCTCACCCCGCAGCTCTCCTCCGGGGCAGTTTCTGTAGCTGAGCTTTGCTGTTGGTGCCTCTTGTGCAGCAAAGCCGGCTGTAGGTTTCTTTCTCCTTTGCTGTGGCAGGAGCAGGCGAGTGGTGTGCTCCCTTGGCTGGGCAAGAAGAGGGGGCACAGGGTTGCGGGGAGCTGGGGTGCTCTTCGATACGCAAGCCAGGATTGGGGTCCGCTTTCCTTGCAGGTGAGGGAGGCACGTGGTCCTTGGTGTGCCTCTTGCTCAGCCCTTCGGGCAGCTGAACTCTGGCTCTCTCCGAGTGCAATTCTAGCTTGAGGCTGGCCAGTCGTCCTTCAGATCATTTGCGTTTTGGGGAACGGGTGACAGTTGATTTTCTGCCCCTCTTTGAGTTGGGTCAGGGTTTATTCCTCCTTCTGTAGGTGTCTTTTCTCCCTTCCTCCCCCTCTCCTTGTTGAGCCCCAGCTAAAGCTGGGCACCAGAGGGAGAAAATGCGCAGGGACACGAGGACAGTTGGTCAAATTCCACTTGTTCCTCCATCGCCACAACCTCTGAGTCCCAAAGGAGAGATGTCAGCTGGACTCAGGGAGAGAAATTCCCCCTTTTTCAGGGGAACTGAGGAAGGAGACTTTGGAGCAGAGCCCTTGGTGGTATCTTGCAATTGCTCCTCATAGCCCTTGCCGGGTAGATAATACACATTTTGGCTCAGGGGCAGCGACAATACCTGCAGTGCAATGTGATGAGAGCAGGGGAAAAGAGCTTTATGTTAGGGAGGACGTGGAAGAGGTCTAGTGTGAGAGGTTTTTCCTTTCTGCTGCCTCTTCCCATCCCCAGCCACCCACTGCCACGTGCCCTCTGAGAATGACTGCTGGCCGGCATCTCTCCAGAGCCTCAGCCGGTCCTTTCTGCAAAGCTGGTGCCTCGCAGCAGCTGAGGTATTGACTCTGTTAACAGGTGACACATACAGTCCCCCAAAAAACTGGCTGCTGAATGATTCCTCCTCCTGCCTGCTTCGCTTCAGGCAGCCTTTCCACTTGCACAATCCTGCGTCTTCATAAAGTAGCTAATCATGCTTTGTTTCCCAAGTGCCTTATGTTGCCATGTAGTCTCTCGTATGCTTCATCTGTGTACTATATCAGTAGCTGAACGCCCTCCCTCTTTACAATGTATGTACAACATATGCTAGATTTATGTGGGTTTTGTTTTCTTTTTGATAGAGCTACTAGCAAAAGGGACAGTTTGTTTTGGAAGCATTTCCATGTGTTCTTTTTTTAAATTTTTTTTTTAAACCTATAGACAATGGGGCTTTTTTTGCCCTCCCCTATCTTTAGTCCTCAGAAATCCTCATCCTTCTCCTGTTATGCCCAAGTGTGGCAGGATCCCTGGGGGCTTTTTTTTTTTTTTTTTGAGCTGAGCCTTTGCTGTAAGGCTATATGCGCTGTCATCCCAGAGGTCTGTGATCCACCCTCCATTGGAGGGGCTGCCACTGGCTGGTTTTGTCTCTCTGTCTTGTAGTGCTAACATCATCCCTCGGCTGCAAGCCCGCAGTAACTGCTTCTACGTCCATGTCATTTCTCAGCAGACCGAGCCTTCTCTTCAGCCCAAAGAGCTTTTTCTTTCCCAAACAGAGTATTTTCATTGCAAGCCCTTACTGGTCAGTCTTTCATTGACCACTCTGCGTACAAAGATGCTGAGAGCCCACTTTCCTTGAGTGGGTGCTCTTCTGGTGCCCCATCTTGTCAAGCCTTGTGTCTTCTCCAAAAAAGACCCAACCCCAAACAGGGTCTCTTGTCCACCACAGTGCAGCAAGTGTTAGAGACTATGCAGAACTGCAAGTCCTTACTTTCAGCGTGACGCTATTGCTTGCACCCTTCCTGTGGGCTTGAGGCTGCTTTTGTAGTCTGTGTCCGTTATCCAACCTAAGAAGGTTGGGGATTGAGTAATCTGTGATTTTTGGTGTGAAGCATAGTGTTTTCCTGCCTGTGAAATACCAGCAGTAGTTCTCTCTTTTTGTCTTAGGTAGTCGGGGAATGAGCTTGGAAGAGAAAGGGGCAGAGGAAGAACAGATGTAGCATTTCACATACAATTTTTGAGTGACTCTTATGTTATGGGGCATTACAGTTGCGTTGTTTTTTTTTTGTTTGTTTCGGATTCTTTCTTCTTACTCATCATGTTTGAGTTAGTAGTAAAGAAGACAAGTTCCAGTTCCCCTGTAGGTCCCCTTACCCTTAACTCACCATTTTAAAGTGTATTTTTGGTAGGCTTCCTGGTTGGAGGGAAGAACAACTACTCTAGGATGCCTCCCCCTTCCCTCCAAGTGACTCTTGAAGCCTGTAGCTACCCTGCCTTTACTGCGGTGCGTGGGAGTTTACAGCAGCCTCAGTCTCTTGCTTTAGATGGAGTCTCGGTAGATGGACCCCGACTTCTGTCAACATGGAGATGGAGATTATGGGGTTTGATTTACAGCCTTCTGGTAGACTTCACGAATGTGTAATAGATGGTTTGGTAGGCTTTATACTCAAACTGTGAAGTATGTTACTTCGCCTTGGGGCTGCATGTGGGGTTTTGCTGGCAGCAGGAAAGAATGGCTGTTGTAAAAGCCAGGCAGAGGCACGTAGTTTTTCTTTGAATAAGTTGAACTCGATGGACCAAACTTCAGCAAAGGAACTCGAGGAAAATTTCTGTTCTTCCATATTTATGCTTTAGTGCAAATTGCCTAATTTTGGAGGGGGTGGAGGGGGAAGTAACAGTCTCTGATATTTTATCCCATTTGTTTCATTCTTCCTGTCACTTAAGTTTTTGTACGGATTTTGTTTGTTATTGTTTGTTGTTAAATGACTTTTGTGATAAACTCAGCAAAAGTATTTTTCTGAAATAAATAAATAAAAGGCATAGATTCTTCCATTGGTGCTGTCCGCTGATGCTTTATCACACTGCTAAGCTGTATGCGTTTCCAAAACGAGCTGCAATGGGTTGTGCTTGTTTCTCTCCTGCCATACCAGACTAGTCCTTTCCCTTTGGTGCAGCATCTTGTGTCCTTGTATTCCCCACAGCTGGGGTTCATCTCTCGCATTTCCCATGTCTACAGCATGGGCAGCTGCTTCTGAGTTAGTTATCTGTGGCTGCCTTCATTGTTGGGAGTGGAGGATAAGGGCATTTGTAGCATATGATTTATTTGATGTGGTTTAGATGCATACTTTATGGTGAGCTAAATTGTATACTTTCTGCAGCTGGCCCCAGGCATGCTACATGATTGGCCGAGTATTAGGTTACAGTTTCATAGCATGTGCAGAAAACAGTTTCTGACTTTCTTTTCTATAGCCTACAGCTCCAGTAACCTCATCTGTAAGTTCTGAAAAGCTGATTAAGGTGGCCTTTAGAAGTTAGCTTTTGTCAGCTGCTGCTTGGAAGGCACCTCATGCAATGCCAAGCCGTGCTTTGAAATCCGAGGTGGACCTGAAAGAGCTGTAGCGATTCTCGGTCGGAGTGAGAAGCAGCACAAAACGGGCCCAGAAGGGAAAAGCGGTGACCTTTCTGAACAGGCAGGAGGGAGCTGTCACGTGGAGACTCTCAGCTGTCTGAGGGGAAGTGGGAATCCACAGCACAAAAGCTGATTTAAATAAGCATTTTGTTCCAAAGAGCTTTGTTCTCTACTGTGTGCATGATAGCTGCCTTTCGTGTGTGCTGAATGGCAATACCTGGCAGGTGTCATTTGGGATGAGAAGGTCCCTGCCACGTTTACCTTCATGGAGAGACGAGCAATGTGACTCTAAGTGGAGCACAAGTGTCATAACTCTATTGCTATGCCAACTGCTAGTTTTCCCTTTTCATTGGACCTGTCTGGTAAGATGACAGGTTGTGTAAGATGGGTTTAGATAGTATCTCAGTCCTAAAACCATTCTCCCAACCTTTTGTTAAAAAATGCAAAGCTGCTGTCAGCAGATTTGTGTACAGACCCCTGCTATCTCCATAGCTATGTGGGAGCTAAACTCACCACTCCATTTCAAGTAAACCCAGAATCACAGTTTTGTGAGGTTTTTTCCCCCTCACTTTAATCCTTAGCTATTCCAGCCATGAGGCACTTTTATTTAAAGATTTATTAACACTTATAGCAGCCATGCATGACTTGCTTACATTTAGACTAGCAAGCGTGAGTTTATTGTGGTCCATGGCAGGGCTCTTGGATCTTCTTGCAATGCAAATAACAATTTAAACTGGCAGTCTTCGTTGCTTGAAGGTGAAAGACCCCTTTTGACTCTGTAAGAGAAATCTAGAGTGGTTATCACTCCAGGCTTTAGAGAGCTTTAGCTCTAGCAAGCCTTGCTGTACTGTATTAAAAAGTTGAGAGATCAACAGGAGAAGCTGGCTTTGGTTCTCTGAAGTTCTTTCTCATGCGAGTTTCATTTCAATATCCAGCAGTTGTGAGGTTGAGTTTGGTGGTAGCTTAAAGGGCAGGGAGAGGTTTGGAAGGGAAAAAAGTTAAAGTGAGGTGAAATTAGTTGGCTTTAGTGAGAAGGGAAGGGGGAGAGTGAGTGAAGCAAGGGTGAAGATTAGAGCATCCTTTTTGAAGTACGATGTCTTGAAGTCAACTCAGCTAAGAATTTTATTGCTGGTCTTGTTCTTCGGCTTCTGGGGGAAGATCACGAGGGGAAGGCTCTAAGGAAGTCATGGTAGTTTATCTTGTCTTCTCCACAAGAACATAGGTCAATCAGCTGCGGGGGGGAAAACCAAAAAACAACATAAAGAGTTGGAAGAAGCTGCAAATTTGTTTTTTTAGGGGAAAGTGCCCAGAGGTACTCCTTGTGTGACAGAGCAGATGATCTTATTCCCCTGCGTGGAAGAGCCTACCACCTTAGTAGTCCTGAATCACAGGTAACCTTGAATGCTTATAGATGACACTAATCTATGCAAGGAGGAGAGTTAAAGAGTTTGAGTTTAATCCTGATTGCCTTCTAATTATCACCACAGTGGCAACAGATCCACAAAAAATAAAGTGTGGCCACAGACTGACATAGGCTACAGCAAATCTTTCAGAAACCCCATAGAAATCCCTGCCAAAAGTGGGATGGGGGCAGCATATCTGAACAGTTACTGTTCACTGGTGTCGCTTTGGTGTGTGCACATGGCATAAAGTGGAGACACAGATAATTGAGCTCAGCAACAGCCCTACTAATGAGCCAGTTCTGGTATCCGTGCCTGACCCTGCATTGTGTTACAGAGCTATAGCCTTTGTGTGCTTAAGGGGAAGAAAGAGGGCTTTTGTTTCTTTAATTGCATAACTAATCTCCTTCTGACACCCAGGGAGATGGAAAAGGTCTAATATCACAGTTCCTTGAAAGGATTCTTCTTCCCCTTGTCGCCTGGAGAGAGATTTACTAGGGTTGCTCTTGTGTGACTGACAGCTGTGCTCCTCTCCAATCCAGACAGTAGTTAACTATCTGCCGTATGTTTAATTTATAGCACCGCCACACTTCTGAGGGCTCTGGGCACACTCTTATTAAGATTTCAAGAGAGAAGAGAGATGCTCTTGGGCATGTCACTTCATCTCCCATTCTCGGAGTCAAGCAGGAAGGACTGTCACCACATTGTAAATTCCTCAGGGCAGAGTGGTTTCCGATGAACTCTAGTACAGCAAAGCCCTGGGTGCTGGTCAAAGGCCTGTATTCAGTGCACATTCAGAGACATAAATACCCTGCCTGTGCATCTTTCTAACCACAGCTGTGATGCTCACGGTTGGCTGGTTTAGAAAATGTTTTTTTTTTTAGCAAGGGAAATACTCCCTCTGGTTTCTAGATTTCTTTAAACTCTGAGTCTGCCTTTATTGGCCACTAATCTACTGCATATCACATTATGCTAATAAAGCATCCTTGCCAGTCATATTCCTGAAAGGATCCTCCATCCCTGCTGTATGAATTTTTCTCTTCAGTTTCCCTCACATTTTCTGCTATGCAGACTCTGATCTCCATGTGCTGTTGCTCATAGTGCCCAGCAAGCTTATGTTTTAGTTGTGTTAACCAAGTGGTTATGATTCTAATTTCTTTTTTTTTTTTTTTTTTGGTACAATACTTAGTTCTCAAATCTTCAATTCAGTTGCTGTTAAATCTAGAATGCATCTCAGATCTTCAATTCAGTTGCTGTTAAATCTAGAATGCATCTAAGCTTTCCTCAGGCTCATTCCCTAAGCACCTCAGTGTCATCTCTACTCAAGCCCAGCTGTGCTTAAGTCATGACAGACACTCAACCACTGTCTGAGTAGCCTATGCCTGATCTCTACCACAACATACAACCTCTTCTGCTCATCTCTGAGACCTGAGCCAGCAGGCATTTTCAGGCTTCACATAACAGTGCAGCCACACACTAGGCTGCTCATCTGGGGGGCAACCTGGGTAACATTTCTTCCCTTTATTTAGAGGACAGCAATTATTATCTTCTCCTTTAAGAGACAGGCTCAGTCCAACAGCTCAGAGGCCCTTCTGAATTGGGACTCTCTTGCCCTTTTCTTGAAGCTGTTCCCCTTTGTAGGGTAGAGCAGCTGTTGGTCTCACCTGGCCAGGGTTGGTTTGTAGAAAAGCTCTTTTGAAGAGTTATAGGAGAGGAATTCAATATGCACAGCACTACTTCCTTCTGACCTTATTAACCAGAAAGGTGTTGGTCGGCACACTCAAGCTGTCACAAAGGGCTAAAAATTTTGCTTTGTCCAGGATGCCAGAGCCATCCTTGTCGCACTGAAGAAATGCCTCCCGAATGTTCTTGTTGTTCAAGTATTTATGGAGCTTCAGCTCTTCCTGAACTGGCACAATTAATTCATCCAGTTCCTGCTTGCTGGTCCCAAGCATGGGGATGTCACTGTAGAAGAAAGGAAGAATGGGACTTCATGTAAAAGCTACTTCTGGCAGCCTTACTGTGACACTTGTGTGCTGGCTGCCCACCATGGCTGGCCAGACTGTATTTCTGAATACACAGCAGGCTTCTGGAGTTCTTGGTTTTTATGACAACCTCATCTCAGCTTGGACTTGTAGATGAAGCTCAGTCTTGATTTTAGAGCATTAGGTAAACTGTTTTCCTTTTGCAGGATATTTCCCCCATGCACCTTTTGTCTGCAAGTGCTCTGGGACAAGGAGTGTTTCCTTGTGTGCTTCGGACAGTCCCAGGAACTGTATGCAACTCTAGTTTCAGCCAGGGCCCCTGAACTGCCATGATACTGACTCCAAAGTGTGTTGTGAGATAATAGGGTTGTTACTGGGTCACCCAAAATGGGTCCAGACAGCTGAAAAAAAGAATGTGGTCTAGGCTTTGATGGGCTGATAAGCACAGCCAGAGCAAATGAAAAATAAGACTCCACCAACTCTCCACAGAGCCTGCACCCATCTAGTAGCTCATGCAGATACTGTTAGCAGCATCTGTTACAGTTAACTGCTGTCTTTTGGGAAAAGATCACTGTGTCCATTTAGCTGAAAGTATCTCTGCTGCTGAGCCAGAGCTGTCCCGCCAGGTTTTTGGGTCAGCAGCAGCAGCAACATTATATTGTACACTCTTGGCCCCCCTCTGTATGTGTCCAGACAGGCTCTTGGAGCTGAATAAGCAGCAGAGCAGCCATTAGACAGCAGGCTGGAGCCCATGGAGGCTGCTGGAAATGCCCTTAGCTGTCAACCCTGAGTCTTATTTAGCTCCACAACTCCATCCTTTGAAGCCTACCTTTTGGCAGTCTCCTTTACCACCTGTCGTGGGCGAAAATGATCCCTCAGGGACTGCAGTGTTGCCGCGGGGAAACTCTCTGCATTGCTCTCCATATAATTAAGCACGTATTCATCAGCGTCAATGATAACAAACCTGTGGCCAAACACTGGAGAAGAGGCATTAAAGAAAGCAGTGTTACTTGCCTTTCAGCATGGGTAAGTCACTTCATCATCCAGGAGAGAGCATGGTTTCTCTCTTGCGGCTGGGCTCAGGTTTGAGCGAGCTCTGCTATTTGTTTCAGTCCTTGATGTGAGAATAGTTTCACTGACTCAACGGGAGTTTTGCTGCAACAAAAGCAGCTGCTGAGAGCAAAGGCCCCGTGCTTGTGCCTACAACAACTCCCCCCATTAGCACTGGTGTGCTTCTAATATTTCAGTATTACATTTATTTTCCTTACAGGGTAGATTTTTCCTTACAGGATAGGCCTTTGCTACTGGAAGTCATGTGGCATAGCTTTAACCCTGTGAGTCCTGGCAGGTCCCAAATGTAAACTGAACACATACTATGGAGAACGTGGCTCTTTTCCTAATTACGTCAAAGGTCCAAACATTGACAGTAAGAGACTTATATCAATGTACACCAGCTGGTGATCTGGAAACTCAAACGTGATGAGAGCCAAGAAGGAACAGATCTTCCAAGTGAAGGAAGGTATATGCACTGTCCGTGCAATAAATGACATATCAGAGCAGGCACTGAAGACCAAAGCTCGAAGAGTATTATCAATCCAGACTGGCTTTTACCTTCAATTGTAGAACCAATGGTGAGGTCAGAGGGCTCATAGTAGGTGGCATTCTCTGTAGTAGAGCCTGGTTTGGCGACTCTGGTCTTTCCTAAGTATCTGCCTCCAATGATGCCAGAGTTACGGACTGGGGGTTCATAGATGCTGATCATGTCATTGGAGAGGAAATAAGAGAGGATGAAACGACGCTTTCTGTCCTCAGGGTTTGGTGATTCCTAGAGGAAAGGTAGTGGCTTTGGAAAAGAACATTTGAACCAGGTTTTTCTTTCCTGGGGTGCTTGGGAGTACCTAGTAACCCCCACATAAGCACCCAGAGTTCATAGCTTTTTTTTATAGCTGACTAAACAAAGCACTTGATGTAGGCCTAAAGCTACAGATATGCTGACACAGCGCAACAAAGCCCCAGACAGCATTAAGTATCTGAATTTCAAAGGTTACTTGCTGTAGCCAGGCTAACAGAAACAGAATCTGGGCTGCAGTGACCAAGTATACTCAGTGTTTCCACAGACTGAGTAATCCAAGAGAAAGAAATATCCTATACGGAATGATTCATCACAGAGAGAGCCTGGCTGTAAAATTCAGTATAGAAGTTATATTTTTCATCATAAGGAGTGCCTGAGAGAGGTTGGTGCTGCTTCCAGCTCTTAGTCACAGGAAGACACTCCCCTGACACATCAGTAGGCTTACTCGCTTAGTTTAAAATTAAGTGGATCTGAACTCATCAGCTGTGACCTTTAGGAACTCCTGCACAATAGGGAAAAGAAATCAGCCCTTATTCACCCTGAGTGTTTGGAGAGGGCAGGCACCAGGCAGCACAGGAAATGCCATTGCTACTGCTGGATGTGCCAGAGGCTCCTTGCATAAACCAACTGTAAAGCTGGCACAAAGGCCAGAGCCTGAATGCTGTTGTCGTGGGCGGAAAGCACCGTCCCCTTGGACTCCCCAGCTTCTGTGCTGGCACTTGGCTGCTCTGCTAGCACAGTCCCTGGGTGGCTGCTGCAGCCAGGACTAGCCTGGAGAAGGACAGGTACTGGGAGCCAGCAGCGGAGGGACAGCAAGCTCACGCTTATGGCAGCAGTTGAAGGCAGGCAGAGGCACAGCGCCCAGTTGCAATGCTGTTTCAGTTAAGGCCATCTGTCACGTGCTGATGTCCGTGGGAGTTTTTCCATAAATGGCTGTGGTTTTGTAGCATGTCTGTTTTGTACTTTCTGGCCTTGTTTTTTTCTGCCTTTGTGTGCTACTAATTGTCACAGCAAGTACACAATAACCCAACGGCATCCCCTGAGGGGCACTCGTGTTGGCTTGGGGAACTCTCTTCTCCCACCAGCACAGAGGAGAATTTGCTAACAGCCTTGTCTGAGCAGGCTGTTCCTCCCATCCTTCTGACTCTACAACATAAGCTGGCACTATACCGTCAAGGAAAGCACTTACCAAGGCCACCTGGTATCGCAGCACCTTGTGGTCATTCTCTAGAATCTTAATTACATCTTTCCGGGGAGGCTTTGGAAACAGAGAAAAGCAGTTCTGAAGAGAGTCTTCAAGGATGCCAAAACCATTATAGGGAGGAATTACCTGCATCCAGAGGACATATCAAGCATAAACAGCTGAAACTAAGAACGAGACAATGTTTGCAAGACAGCTTATCAGAAACCACCTGTTTGGAAAGAAATTTTCTGTCACCAGGTAGCAATAGCTGTGACATCCTGCCCAGTAGAGACGCTACAAGCCCGGCCATGTGTTGGACCCCTTACTTATAGAAAATATTTAAGAGAATTAAGAAAATCTGAAATTCAGAAAGCCAGGTAATTTCTGTGAATAAAGAGACTATGGCTATACTAATAACTAAACCTTCCTGTGCACAGGAATTCAATCATCTATTTGGTTACAGTGTTAACCTAATCCCCATCATGTTTGTGCTCTAGGCCAGCTAGCACTCCAAACCATTCCTAGGCTCAGTTTGGGAGGTAACAAGGGCTGTGACCATCCCCAGCGGGCAGTTTGGACTTGGCAACCCTGTTTTGGAGGGTAAGGGAGAGTTTAGTAGTATGAGTGCAGCCAGACTGTGCCAGGCTGGCTTCCCAGCCAAAACCAAACCCTGACACTGTTTCCTTTTCTAGTATAGACATAACCAGAGTTCTTTCTATCACTATTAGCAAGTGCTTTGTCCTTTACAGTATTAGAAATCAACAGTTTCAGAGGACTTTCACTTTTATATCGATTATGACCATTCTTGCCTTGTCTTTTTCAAGTTACTTGCTCTTTTATTTAAGCTGAACTTGTTTACTATAGGTTCTTACTAAGCTGAACCTATACTTTACTGTAAGAGCTTATACCAACTGTTTCCTTCCCTCCCTTCCTTTGAGAAATTGTTTGCAGTACCTGTGGAACTTCCTCAAGTGGTTTCTTCTTTATTTCCACTGGCTGGAAGTCTGTGATGCCAAATTTGTCACGGTAGAAGTTTCGTGTGAACTCATCACAATCATAGATGAAGAAGGTGCGTCCAAGGAGGGTGGTAGATTTGCCAACAGCAAAATCTTTAGCTGTGTACCACTCAAGTACCTCCTGATCAGAGATCTCCAGCACACAGCTTGGGAAGGTCTCTAGGGACAAGGGAGCAAAAGGAAAAATACATCAGTCAGGTAGATGTTAACATTTCCTAGTGAAAAGGGATACAAAAGCAAGCTGTTTAAATAGCTCCAGGGAGCTGTTGGTACTGCTGTCCTGCCACTGTTTCCCAAAAGATAAAGAATTTAGTGATCATTGGGACTGTTTAGTCTGCAGAAGAGTAGGCTCAGGGGAGACCTTATCACACTCTACAACTACCTGAAAGGAGGTTGTAGTGAGGCGGGGGTCGGTCTCTTCTCCCAAGTAACTAGCAATAGGACGAGAGGAAACGGTCTCAAGTTGTGCCAAGGGAGGTTTAGATTGGACATTAGGAAAAACTTCTTCACTGAAAGAGTGGTTAAACATTGGAACAGGCTGCCCAGGGAAGTGGTTGAGTCACCATCCCTGGAGGTATTTAAAAGACGTGTAGATGTGGTGCTTAGGGACATGGTTTAGTGGGTATGTTGGTGGTGGTGTTGGGTTGACAGTTGGACTCGATGATCTTAGAGGTCTTTTCCAACCTTAATGATTCTATGATTCTATGATTTAAAGAACTTTTCTTTGGCCAAAAAATGATGACACTTGGAGTGTTCTCAGCAAAAATTCTCCAGACTCAGTGTACTTCTGACATAACCACCATATATGTGTCTACCCACTAAGGCACTCTAGCACAGACAGATGTGCTGGCCAATCTAAACTTACTTTTCTTGTCCACAAAGGTTTTGGGCAAGCGTTGGCGTTTTATCAGTATTGGGAATGGGTCTCTACCATCATTTTGCTTGTAGACTTCTCGAACCTCCACTGTGTCATCTGCCAAGTAGTAATGGATGATGTAAGGGCGATTCTCACCAAACATGCTGTCAGTGTCATCCCATGTGGCATAGAAGCGAAGGACCTGGGATGGAGAAAAAAGAGCCAGAGAAGACAACCATGGATTAGAATTACCAATGCTTTGTCCAAATGAAGTGGGTTGAAATGGGTTGGGTGAGTGGAGGCATCTCAGCAATCTTCTCTGCTAGGTACAGAAGAACCAAGCCCTTGTACTGTGGGTACTGGGATGAATGGGCTGCTGAGGCAGCAGTGGGAAGGGCAGCAGGGGCCTGGAGAGCTGGACAGGCCTGGCTTACCTTGACAGCAGCAAGTGAGAGAGAACCGTTTATGGTAAGACAAGAAATTTAGTTCAGGAAGCATGAGAGTCGGGGAGAGCGATTAAAAAGCAGCAGAAAATAATTGCCCAGCAATGAGTAGGGAAGTAGTCCTAAGGGAAGTGATTTTTATAATGAAACGTAACACAGAAAGACAGAATTTGTTTTGACTCTTAAACCTCTTAGAGGTTTCATGGCCAATTCTTTACTACTCTCACGCTGAAGAAGGCAGAGGGGAAGGCACTCAGCAGTCCTGAGGAGGCTGCATTGACTGCAGACCCCGTCTTATTGCTGCCTAGTGGAAATATCATCTTTTAATTCCACAGAAATCAAACTTCACCCACTGCAATGCTCAAGAGTTGCCCAAGGTACAGCTCCTAAACAAGCAGCCCAATAGCCATTGCAGGCAGAGTTGGCCCAGCACAGACAACGAGCAGTAAAATGACAGGCATGGCCCAGCTTGCATCCACACAGAAAACTGTCTACTCCTCTCAAAACAGGGTGACCGTATCCAAAATGACAACTGGATATGATCCTGGCCTGTGCTAACACCTAGCTGATGGCCAGAAACTGTTTGATTTATAGCTGGCCAAGGACAAAATGCAGAACTCAAGTTGTGTCCTGGCCCTGTTTTATTTTCTAGTATAGATATAGTCTATAGGGTTTCTTACATTGTTGTTAGATGAAAAGAAGATCCAGAGGAGCAGGGAGGAGAGTGTTAGTCAACTGTGTGCACAGAGAGAATTCAGTCAGAGCAAGTGGCACTTGTGTTTGTCTGAAATTGTCCACCCTGGCACCTGGCGTCAATGTTTTGGGGGAAGAGAGGAGTGGATGCAGCACGCCCATTTGTATTAGAACTGCATCTGGCCCTATCTGCTAGCTTCCCGAGGCAGGTGGCTTATCTCACCCCAACAGAAAGCAAGAAAGAGTTGGAGGATCTAGAGCATAGGCTGTGCAATCCAAAGAGAAGCTCTTCACAAGGCACAAAGCCTAGTTAAAAGATAAAATATTTTATTTCTTACTAAAGCCAAGAAAGGAGCAAAACTGAAGTCTGTTCAGTGCGCTGAGATTTTTTAGAATGAATAAGATTGTAGACACTCACAAAACTCAGGTTTCAATAACACATATAGTCTGTACTGTGAGTAATCATTACCAGCTCTCTCACCTGCTTGTCGTAAGTCAGAAACTGTTTGAGTTGGTCGAAATCTGATGGTGTGATGTACTTGCGCATAGGCATCCGACGTAGTTCTGTGTAAGGATCAAAAATCATTTTCTCTGGAGGGTTCAGTTCAATTCCTTGGCTCTCCAGGAACACCTAGGAAGGTCATCTAAGGTATTAATGCTGCTGTGAGTTCTGAAGGCAAGAGGTAACTAGAGATTACAGATGGGCTGAGATGAGTGTTGTCAGAACGCTGCAAATTCATTCCTCACAGACCACCAGGCTGATTTTACTTGAGCAGTTTTCCTTGACCTTAAGGCTTTAAATGGAGGAAAACTGTCAGTTGGTCTCTTTTATGTAAACAAAAAAAATTAAATTAGTGCATGATCGCGGACGTAGTCAGTCGGAATTTGCAAGAGACCTAGGGCTCCCCAATGTGTCAGACAGTGGAAGTTAGTGTTACCAACACCAGGCCCACCAAGGCCCTTTGGGCCACGAGGATATGTGCCAGAGTGGCAGCTTCAGTCCATCTTTCAGGAGGCATACTTTTGCCATAGAAAGAGGACAATCTGGTTTTTTATAAAGAGATTTTTTGCTTACCTTGGATGAATCAACAAACTCTAGGGTATTACTTGTGTACTCACATCTGTCACCCAAAACAACCTCTGAAGCCCATGGACTTCTTCCCTTTTTGGCCTTGGGAAGCAGCCCGTGAAAACATTCAGTCCAGGAAGCACCTATGCAAACATCTCCAACAGGCATGTGAGATCACTCTGAAGACTCACAAAACAGGTTCACACTTCTAGACTCACTATTTTCTGGTCTGGAGGATGCTAGTTAATGATAGACTAGCGGCCTTGAGATGTAGACCCACATAGCTCATTTCATGTTTTACATCAACCAACCAACATTTACATGAGAACCCGCTCTTCATATGATGTGAACTGACTTTAACAGTCATCCAGTTCCAGCAGAGCTGGCCCCACATGTTCTCGACAGCCACATATATACCAATATATTATTCATGCTTGGGAACATTCCCGGGCACTGAGGCCAACTGGCAAGGAACAGCCTGCATCTAAACTCTCTCAGCCTCCACGACACGTTGGCTGCACGTAACTCACCTATTGGGAATGGTTCCCTGGAGCATTCTAACTCCTGCACTGCTTGGAAGAATAGTAGTTGACCAGGGCTGAGATTATACTGGGGACAATCTAAGAGGATACCTTTATATTGGTATTTGTTATTATTTGTTATTGGATTGTTATTATTTCATTTACTGGTACAGAAATAGCCAGAAATAGAAAGCAGGCAATGAGTAAGCTCTCTTAGAAAGGTCAGTTCACACCATGATTCTCAACCCACGGATCATGACCGCTCTCCTGGCTTGGCTGTAGATGGGTGCAGAGTTACTGACCGCATTCCCTTCCCCTATTCTTAACAGAGGAGTATTAAGTCAGAAAAGAGTTAGATCAGTAATTTCCCTCTCACATAAGAACAATGTTTCATCTGGACTCTAAGCAGTTAAACTGTTGCACACCCAGAAATGAACTTCTTAGAATTTGTATTGTAAGGAGAAGTCCTGAGGACAAAGGATGGACTCCCAGCAGCCCTGGGGCAAAAATACTGAACAATTAATATGCCCTCAGCAAATTTCATACCTTGAACTTCCCATTAATCTGAAGAAAGAAGTCTTCACAAAAAGCAAAATGAAAGATTGCAAGCAACCTTTTTCTGAAAGCTACAGATGCAGACTACTGGACTCTAACAGGTCTGGCCACCTGTAATTCCCGGGATTCTCTGTGTCAGTGTTCTCAGTACAAGCAACACACCTGTGTGAATGGGTCACAGTCGACTATGCGGTACGTCCTGCCGTACATGGTGATGTTCATGCCGCGATTCAGATCTTTCCAGTGGTAATGATGCCCATGGTCATTCTTGGGCACCCGGTGGCGTCTGATAAGTTTGCCTTGAGGAAGACCAGAGTTCTGCACAACAGGCTCTATGACGGACATGCTGTCATCTTCCAAATAGTAATAGATACCCACTTGGCGGATCCGGTAATGCTCTTCTGCGGAAAGAGGAACATCTTCCTGGAAATAGGCATCAAACTTCAAAATCTTCCAAAGGGGCAATATTTCAAAGGGAGAAAGACAGAAACAGTTCGAACACCACAATTAGTCTAGTAAGACAAATAATTTATTTGTAATGTGCTTTGGCAGTGCAAAGTTACTGGATTGTAATCTATAAAATCGTCAAAGCCAACTGTAGCCTAATCTGTGACTGAAAGGCAGGGCTTTTATCAAGACCTGCCTTTTACAAATTTGGTACGCTTGAGACAGGTGTAAAAAATACAGCCTTTTCCCTACTCCTCCTTGATCACCCGCTATTTCACCTGCTGCTAAGTGCTTGGTTACTCCCAGTAAACTAGTCTTCTGACATACATGACTTTCTTTACTATTGTCAGCTTTGCAGACCAATCAGGTCTTGCATACCCAGCCTACATCAGCGCACAGGCGTAGGTAATTAAGTGATGATAAAGGCAGCAAGTTCCTACAAGCCAGCAAAAGTGCTTCAAAAGGGACCATGACTTCCCCCAGCAGCACTGGGGCCCCCACTGCTACTCTGGCTTGAATGAAGGGGCAGAGAAGTACCTGACAGTTTAAACGGCAACATCTACATTACTCTGAAGGAATAGCTTCAGTAATTAACACAGAGCATCTGTTCCCTAGACTGTCTCACAGATGGGCTGAGGGTTGGCTGCAGCCTGCCTTTCCAGGCCTGCCTGGCAGCGTGCAAACCCCTGCACGCGCTCAGGTCTGCTGAGCCTCGCACGCTCTGCAGCAAATGCTCTGTCCGTGGCTGCGGCTGCACTCGCCAGCTTGCAGACTGTGCCACTGGCACGTTTAAAATCAAGGGTCAGCTCAGGACTGCTCCAGGCAGACACAGAGCCACCTCCTCGTCCGATACGATCACCAAGATGTGACGCAGGACGTACTAATGGAGCAGTACAGGCTGTAACACGCTGTGGTGACAAACACAAGCATAGATAGACCACAGTTAAACAGTCCAACAAGGTCCTCATTGCAGACTGTCTTTTACAGTTTAAGCTCTGTTACAATCTCTATATAGTTTTGGAAACACAGAAGGCCAGGCTGTGGTTTACAGGGCAATGGTTTAAAACTGAAGTTTTTCAGAGTTAATCAAACTCCTTTTCCAACGCCTGTTGGAAATGCTCTAGCGTAACTTGTGGGGAATGTCTTACATCGTTTACGTATTATAATCCTCCTCCCAAGCACAGAAAGCCTCTTTCAGTCTGGGGTTCAGCTGTCTCTGACTAAGGGCTATGGCATCTGAAAACTGCTGTACACTGTCCCATGAACCCTGGAGCTGACTGTTTATGTCTCCGAACTTGGCCAGCGATATTCCTGGAATAATCTTCTTGATACCTTTTTGTCAAAAGCCACGTGTGCTGGAATGAAGCCTGAAGGTGGAGCCTGCTTGGCTTGCCCATAGGTCAGCGTGGGTCTCTTGTTGGCTAATTCGTCTAATTCAGCTTGAGAAAGCTGATTCACATATAGTCGCTCCCCGCCGATCCCCACTGTTGGCAGCCGAGAAAAGGCAAATCCATTTTTGTAGCCCAGTGTCTGGGACCGATGAAAAGATGTTTTCTGTGGAAGGAAATCCAGCTGTTAAAATACTACATGCACTTAGTAGATACAGCTACTGAAAGCACAGAAAAACAGTAAAAGAATGTAATATCCAGAATGCCCCCCCAGCATTTTATTATAACCTTCTGCAGCAGTTATTTACAATCAGATTTTACACTTAGATCAAGAAAGCTGAAAAAACAGTAACTGGCTGGAGGAACAACACATCAGAGCGAACTCAAATCCTAGCACGCACAGAATCTCCAAGAGCTTAAATCACTTGATTTCCCTATTGCCACCATTCTCAGTGCCTAGAATGGGGTGACAGCACTTTATCTGCCCTAGTATTTCTCTCACAAACTTCTTGTTCCCTACTCTGTGTTAGGGCAGTAGTGAGCACCGTGGGACCTCACTCTGTTACTGCCTTACGGCGCTCCCTTGACTATTGCACCTTGTGCACCCTCTGTGTTTTCTGTTGCTATTTATTTTGTTAACCCTCTCCTCGGGATGATATTCACAGGATTTTCTTCGCTGGGCTAAATCAAGGTGTGACATGCTCACAGAACTGCAATTATGAAACGTACCAAAGCACATTAGCTGTTTCACCACCTCTCTCCACAGTCCTTGCAAGGGTCACACATTAAATAATCACAACCACAGTGTAAGACCCTATAGCAGATTAATAAGAAGCCTGATAAGATGAGAAGAATTCTATCTCTGTGAGCACTGTATAATGTTGGCTATAGGATTCAGCTGTTATTTTTTGCTTTGTTGGTTTAATCCTGGTTTTGAGCTTCTTGGAGCCTTTCACCTGTCCTTGCTATCTGCCTCACACCAGCTACAGAGCCATTCTTCAAGCTAAATAATTGTCCAGCTGGCACAGGAAGGTCCCTGCTTTGCTTAAGGACACACAACAAGAAAATGTCAGAGCTGTGAATAGGACCTGATCTCTGTCAGCCCGGTCCTGTTCTTCACTACTGAAGATTAGGATCGGACTTGAGTGACACCAAGCTACTCGACTTGCTGTCGCCTCACCTGCAATCCTGAAAGCATTCGAAATAACACATGCCTGGCTGGTCCCACTGGGCTTTCAACACTTAATGCTCCAGAGAAAGCAGGAGAAATTGTGAGTCCCTGATAATAAAATCCCTGACTTTACCTTGACTTTTGCCAAGTAAAACAGAGTTGTACGCATTTCTAGCACTGAAGGAACAAGCTTCAGCTCCTTTTCCAGACCCAGACTTGCAATCAGTCCAACCTCAGGCATGTGAACCGCTTCTTCTCTACCCCCTCCCTCATCCCTCATGGTTAAGCCTCTAATCTTATTTATACCTTCAAGGCCCCACTTGAATTTCACGTAATTGCCTGTTTTCTCTTTAAACTGGTACTACGGATCTTGCAATGCTGTGGACAGAGCAGTTAGGAAAACAGGTTCAGGTGAAAACAAAAGAGCTTACTGCAGACATGTTAACAGAATGTCTTATAAACATTAGTCCTGCCACAGAACTGCCATTTCCTTCTGTTAAATAAATACCAAGGGAAAGCTGTAGGAAAAATATTCAAGGAAAACCGGGAAGTTTATCTTTAAATTGGGCAATATCAGTGTCTGTCAGAAGTGCAGAGACTTTTAAGGGCCCACAGTTGCCTAAAGAAAACACCTCATAAATTCATAAGACTCCCGAAGTCGATAGGCTTTCCCAAGTGAGCATGGATGCCAGATAACATCTCATGGTATCAGGTGACTAATGTAAATTTAAAAGGGAAAACCCAGAATGTAAACTCCTAATCTCAGTTGCTGCCAGTCCATACCTGAAGAAATTCCACTGAATTAAGTCCTCCTTTTTGCCAAGTCTGTAACGCTTCATACAAACGCCATTCCCCCTCCCAGTGTCTCAGTTCCTCTGTCACATGAGCAATAAGCAATAACAATACTATCTTATTGAACACAGAGGTTTTCCTCAGCACTTCTCAGCATTCACTTGGAAAACAAGTATCACGATGCCCATTTTATAGACTGGAAAACTGAGGCAAAGTGAGTTGATAGCACTCACTAGGACTCATCCTGAGGAACACTGCAAAGCCATTTCTGGAGTTCAGATCTCCTTAAAACATTACCAATACTTCAAGTTACTCCAAAATAACAATCTGCTCTGCTAAGTCCCATGAGTGTTTCTTACATACACACAGCACTGCTGAAATCAGTCGAAGCATGCACATGACTAAAGCAGTCAGGATTTTACTGATAGAGGAAATAATATTTTGCTAGGGGCAGAAATTTGCTTTGCTGATTTCCAGGACATTATAAATGATATTGAGGAAATAATATTAAGCTGAGAATAATTCTGAGATAGCCTATATCACTGCATGATTAAGAGTACTCGTTATGAGTAAATGGCTCCACTTACTGTTGAAGAACTCAGTCGTCACTGATTTAGAAAATAGTTTGACTGTTCATGCTGGAAGGCACCACTAAGACTGGTACAGTGACAATTTATTCTTGAGTAATCCTAATCTACACAGAAGCAGAATAAAGAAAAGAGAGGGTCCTATTTAGGAAAACAGAGAAAACTGGGTTCCCACAAAAGCATCCAGAATTACAAAGCCCATCATGACACAGTCCTTCTCAAGAGCACATCATGTCAAGAGCGCATCCGTCAAATAGGTATTAGTGACAATACCACCACTGGTCTGAGAAACATAGGACAATATCTTCCTAAGGGAGCACTAGATCCCTTCAGTGTTGTTAAGATCCTTTAGAGATTCCTCCCCAGTCCATCTGAGGAGCAGTCAAGAGTTATAGAAATTTCTATCACAAGGATAACTAGGAAATACTGTAGTGTCCTGTAGAAATATCAGGAGCATTGTGGTGGCAGGAGATGGAAGGGAAGCTTTCCTCCTTTGGGCGAATTAGCATTTCCTCTGGAAGATCAAATAAGCATGAGGTCTGTGCCCTGGGCAAGTAAAGAGGCTCTGTGAACAATATGGGAAGAGCAGACTGGGCTGACCTACAGCGGGGCTCACCATCACTTGAGAAGATTTGCCAAAGGGTTGACTGGATTGGTAAGACATTCTGTTTTCTGTAGAGCACAATCTAGGGGAGGTATCAGGAAGACATGGAAGCGCTTGTTCTGTATGTGTCAGTTTTCAATGGGAATATCAAGGACAAGGAGTACTGTCCCAAGGTATGTCTCTCTGTTTTTTTTTTCAGTACAGCATGTCCTATGACAAATGTTCATATGCAAGTACACGAGGTTCCTTATCCCGCAATACCAGAACCATATTGGGGCCCTGTTCTCCTGATGACCAGGCAACTTGGATATATTGCAAGGGAACAGGGGGAAGAAGGGGCCTCACTCAGAATATGGAGCCCTATGGAAATGGAGAAGCCTGTTCTTAAAGACATCAAGCTCCAGGGAAATGTAAGGCATGGCCTGGTCTATCTGTTCCCTACAAAAGTCTGGGAGCATTGCTTCTGAGGGAAGCAGTCAGGGTATTGGTTTCTCAAACTGACATTAGTAGCACTGAGTTGAAGTTGAGCAATGGTGTCAAGACTCAAGATATTAGTTCCCCAGGGAGAAGGAAAGGCAGAGCTGTCAGCTGCTCTGAAACAGTACTGGAAGGAACTCAGGAGGTATCAGTTCTCATCTGCGGTACTGCTTCCTCAAGAGGGTATTGGGAGGATTTGGGGTTATCAGATACTTAGTGCGCGGGCCACTGGGAATGGGGAAAAGGAGAGGTTGCTTCCTCATTTAGGTATCAATTCAAGTGCAGAGGATGAGGATGAGACTACTTCTTCCAAGGAACCTGGGAGCCGCTGAGAGGGTCTCACTTCTTTGGCAGGATCCTGGAGGCTGTGGTGGTACCAGTTCTGTGGAGGGATACAAGTTCTCTGAAGACTATCAGATTCTCAGGTTCCAGACCATTAGTTCCCTATGGACTATCAAGGATTCAGTTCACACAATAGCAGGAGAACATTTGTGGAAGTATCAGAGCTTTGGAGGAGGGTATTGATTGCCCAGGAGATTGGTGACTTCAGGGTGTATCTGTCCGTCTAAGGGTGGTGGGTGGGTCCAGGACATAGCTGTACTGGGATGGTTTGCGGGATTAATTTCTAGTGGAGGACTTGTTGAGGTTTGGACAGTGTTGTTTCTCCTGGGTATATCAAGTCAGTAGAGGGGACATCAGGTGCGTTTTAAGGGTCCTGGTTCAGGGCAGTATCAGAATGAGTAGCAGGTTCATAACATATCCCTTTGGGAAAACTGAGATGGTTCAGAGAAATGGGAGTTTCCCTGGGGGAATCAGGTTTCAAGACTGTAAAGTGAATATGGGGATACTCCTTCCTTTGGGGTATCACATGAACTGGTGGGGGACCTATTGGGTGGGTTCAGGGGTACTGGATTTCCATGGGGTGAGTTTGCAGATAGTAGTTCTGCAGTTACAGAGAAAGCTTTTGGGGTCTCAAATGAAGCTGGGGGAACTTACCCCTCCAAAGCCTATCAAGCAGGACAATTTCAGGGGTTTTCAGGTTGGTGCAAGATGCAATGGGTTCCTTGGGGACAAGGTTAACAGTACCGAGTCCCCTGGAGGGTGGGCTCATGGATACCTGGTCCCCTGGGAACAGACTTTCAATTACATTGGGAGATCTTAGGGAGTACCAGGTCTGCCATGGGTGGGGCCAGGGGATACCAGGCGGGTTCAGAGAGTTCAGGTCTCCCAAAAGTGAGTTCAGCAGATATTTGTTGGCTTTGGGAAACACCAAGTCCCCTGGGGGAGAGTTCAGTGGCTATTAGGTCTGTTGGGGAGCATCAAATGAGTTTACAGGGCATCAGGTCCCTTGGGTGTCACTTCACAGGGTACCAGGTCCCCTGAAGGGTGTCTGATGAGTTTGAGGGGTACCAGGCTCCCGGGACATGGGTTCACAGGACACCAAGTCCCCTCAGGGATATTAGGTGAATTTGGTAGGTACCAGGCCTCTTGGGGGAATTAAAGGGCGGTCTGAGGGAATAGGAGGTTCCCTCAGG